GGTACGTGAATTCCATAAATTTGGATCCCTTCGCCCCACTTATTAGTTCGAGAAATTAAGATGAACTCTTTTTATCCGACTTCCTTTTGCAATCTGCTGAAATATTTTATAAGATTATTTATGACTATACTGTCCTGCTCCCTATGCCTGTTTAACAAGAAGCGCATCAAGCAACACCAGTAAGACAAATTTGCTCGCTAGAATGCGTCAGCTACGGCGCTCCTATTATAGAACCTTCAACATTTCCTCTACCATGAGGTCAAATGAAATCGCTATTGCGTCGTCAGCCAGATCGGCGACAAAAAATAGTTGTCAAGAAAGGGCAGCTATGCGTCCCCATGCACCTCTGTAGCTTGCTTGGAGCCACCACTTATCTCCCAACTTTAGTCTGTTTGACCGTTTGCGTCACAACTCAGCTGGTTCGGTGACTTATTCGGTGACACCATGGGTATCCACTAGTGACTATATCTTAATCGAACAGCTGTACCTGCCCACTGATACTCTACACTGGAGCCATTTTCTCTGTGCAGGAGCAGTTATCCGCCATAGGCTCCCTGCAACCCTGCGGATATCCGGCTTTCGCTAGGAGTCACTCCTTTTTTACAACGTTTATTCTCTTGGACTGATTGCATCACAGCTCAGCTGATTTGGTTACCTATTCTGTGCCACCGTATGTTTCCACTAGTGACTGAAAGCTTAAGCCGAATACCATTGCTGGCCACTTATCTCCCTCCTAGCACCCTTATCCTCCGTTCGACGTACTCTGGTCAACTCTTTTTGGCAGCAGCTAGTGGTTGTTAGCTGCGTGCATCTCCGTGCAAAGTTGCAGCTTGGAAGGCGCCACTCCTTTACTCTCCAACCTTCATTTTCCTGGAATGCCCGTCTCCATAACCTTCGCTCGCTTGTTCGTCTATTCACTGTAGTTATCCACAAGTGTTGAAACGCCTTAATGATATGGCCACACCAGCCACTGCTACTACTTTTCCTATAGCCATTATCACTGTTTAGCAGCAGCTAGTCACCTTAGGCCCCATGCAACTCTGTGGATACCTGAAGCTCGCTAGGAGGCACTTCTTTCCTACAAAGTTTATTCTCTTGGACACTTTGCAGCACAGCTTAGCTGGTTAGGTTACCTATGCTGTGCCACCGTAGGATCCACTGGCGGCTGATGGCTTAATCCGAAAGCTGTTGATGGCCATCGACCTCTCTCCTAGCGCCCTTATCTGTCCTGCGCCTTACCCTCGCCAAATCTTCTTGGCAGCAGCTAGTGGTTTTTGGCTCCATGCATCTCTGTAGCTTGCTCGGAGCCACCACTTATCTCCAAACTTTATTCTATTCGACCATTTGCGCCACAGCTCAGCTGGTTCGGTGACTTATTCTGCGACACTGTAGGTATCCACATTTTACCGAACCTATTAATCGAGTGGCTGCAGTTGGCCTCTGAAGATCTGTCCACCATCGCTATTATTTCGGTTATGGCACCTTCAACACCACTAGCTACTGCGATTTGGCGTACGCTCCTAGCATCTCTGCGCATATTCGGGGCTTGCTATTGCCACCCATTATCTTTCCAACTGATTTCTTGTAGACTGCATCATATAGTTGTGCTGCTTTGTTGGCCCATTCTTTGACACTGTAGTTATCCATTGGTAACTAGGATGATTAAGCCAACTATCACTTTTGACCATTGAAACCCAGTCCATTGGCGCCATCTCTCGATCGCCTTCCCTACGACACTTAGTCCTCCGTACATATCCATTTAATCCTAGCTGGCTCTTATTATGCTCAGCTCCCTATCCTTATATACCTATGTACATAGTATTTATTATGTGATCTTAGCTAATCCTCAACCCGTGGAGTTTATTTAAATATGGCCACATCGTCACTGTGTCTTCTGGTTTCCGATTTCAACCAATCGTGAGTACGAACCCGACTTCTGGTCTCCGGTTGAATTCTAATGCCGTAAGCTAATACCAAAACCCTGCTCTTCATCTTCATGTACAAGAAAAAATTACCCAATGGGCCATGCCTTCTGTTGCATAATCAAAAAGCATTTTCAGCGTAATAGCTGTTACACATTGTACATCAGTTTGTCTCAAGTATATGTCCTAAAGTAGGATTTCCCCAATGCTTTTTAACATGACTGATCTTTTTGGTCTTCGCTGGGCCTGTTCGTCTCCCTTTTCGCTGAGGTCTTGAACATCTTCGATGTCCGGGGTAAATCTGAGGAACTGCGTCCGTCTGAGATGAGACGAAATAACCAATAAAGCCTTACCTGGACCATGGCTTCACTTCAAAACAAACCATCTGCACCCTACACCTCAACCACCGAAGTCCAGTGTGGGTAGCTGGACACGGATTCTTTACACCCCAGAAAATAAACCTAATCAGCGAAGGTGAGACCCCATACGCTGGAAAATCTACTTACCTGCAAAATCATACTTCCTCCCCGACTGACCTCAACCTCCATGTTGGACTCTGACTGTGCCATTTGTTCAGCCAACAGAGGAGTCACTCGACTGCGAATAACTGAATGCTCAAATGGTTTGTAAGAGGCTTTGCTAGTTGTACATGACCGTTCAAAGCAACTGACGACAGTGTTCCAGGACGTGGTGGGTTTTTGCGTGGCAAGCGTTCGCGGTAAGAACAGCCAAAAAAGTCCGTTTATCAACACTGTGCCGAGGCGGAGGTGACTCACTACTGGATAAAGTCACTGCCCACTGTTACACTCCGTGATATCAACTAGTCATTTTTCAATATTTTACTGACACCTACAACCAAGAAACTCTCATTTTTCATATATTGACCCCACTCCACCTACTGTGCTCCTCATGAGTGCTTCGACGGTTTCTGCAAATGGTACACTTTTGACCACGACCAATTACGTGCGTTGTAACATCTCTGTTGTGGGTCATAATATCCTGTAAATTTTGCTCATACATGAGTTGGTATGTCTCGGTAAATTCCAGAATAAAATATTTATGTATTTTTAATATTGTTAATAGAGTCAAGCAACACAGCCGGCTGCCGCGTTCTCACGCCGCTTACTACTTGTCAAAGACATTCCGCAAACGAACGGGCCCTAATAAACCTTCCATTGATCCGCTTGTAATTTGTGAAGCATTCAACGCCTATTGTAAACATTGTCAAGACTTAGCAACGGGGCCAGTCAGAGATGAGCTTAAGTGACCGCTAGCCATTTATGTGTCACGGTGCATTTTAACATCAAAGGTATGCGCCCTGTAATTTCGACCATTAAGCCATCTTCAAACCTTGGTCAAGTGACCTTTTGCTAACTCTAATTAAGAACGGGAGCGAGGACATACTTATACTTCTCCTGAAGCTTTTAACCATCTCCATTTATTAGGAAAAATATCCTACCACTTGGTAACACTCTATAATTAGGCTGCGTCAAACAGTTGGCACTTTGCATTATGTTGTAAATTTCCGCCTGCTAAACCATACATCTCTTATCTCGAGAGTAATGTAAAAGACCGTTAAACAAACGCTCGTTGACTACTTGAATTAAAGTAATCACATGAACAATTCACAACATGGATATCGGAGTACTTGATCCTGCGCGACCAGTCAACTGGCTTTCCTTAACATGGTCACTGACGCGCTGGACTCAGCTCAAGCCATACTCACCCGCCACTACGATGTGCAACAGGCATTCGAAAGAGTTCCACATAAGCACCTACTACACGAGGTCAAGTCTTATAGCGTGGAAGTCCGCTGTTGGACTGGTTATGGTCATATCTAACCGGATGCACGCAATCAGTGAAACTTTCACATTTCGAAACTTCCCATGGCACGATCTCGAGCGATGTCATTTAGGGAAGCGCTTTAGGTCCAACAATCCTTCTACGACACGGCGGCCCATTGCTCTTGCCCATGATATGAAGGCCGTGTATGTCTTTCTTCAGATGCAAAGATTTCCACACTTGGCGAAAGCCACGACGACCTGAAGGCTTTATAGCCTTGTCGTCAGAAATCGCAAATGGAATTTTCCACGGATAAATCCATCATCATCGCCTAAAAATGCACCATACTTGATGGCACTTTAACGTTAACTAGCAAATCTATCCGATTCAATGCTTTGGCTGGCGATTTACGTATGCAGTATTCTATGAGCTTCAAATTTTTAGAGAATGTGCAAGTTCAAATGCCAGACAGTTAGTCCCCCACTTAGGCCGGCACATAAGCACAGCCGAGACGTGACTAGCAATTTATCAGAGTCATGTTCACCCACACCAAGAATATTTTACGTACATCCGCAGCACTACTTGCGGATCAGATCACAAACTGCTTGAAAAGGCTCAGCGGCGGTTTATCGTAATGATAACCCCACAAGCTACCGCTAACTTTCCTACAGTGGTGTGGTCGCCACAAACACTACCTTCTATAGTTGCGACGCATTACGTCACACCTACGCTTTTTACCTGAAGTTAACAAGTCAAGCGGTGTAGAGTGATATATCTAACCTTACGCTGATATGGCGGAAGCGGTAAAGGAATATACCTAGTCAGTCAGGTTTAACTCACATATAAAATATCCTGACGGCCTTGCCGTCGGACGAACGTACATCGCAAAGCACGCCAAAGTGTACGTGTACGTACAGTACGATGGTAAATAAAGCAGGCAGCAATACGCACAATCACAACAATCTGGTGGCAACTAAAGGAGAACCACGGAAGACAAGCTCGAAACCACGCGTATTGTGGTGTGCAATAATCCAGGGGGCACGAAAGATCGTCAGTGGTTGAAAAACGCAGGGAAGAACTAATAACGACGGCCGCACGTGTTACAGTGGTCACAGCACACAAATAACGTCAGGACAAAACACAGCATGCACATGGCAGCGTGTACCCGGCAAAAGTCCAACATTCATGTAGTTCAAACAAAAGGCGTTAAATGTATGCGAACCCCGAAGAAGAATAGGAGGAATTTGGACCCGGAGGGGAGTACAGGGGTGGAAGTTGAGGCTGGGGGGCTGTGTGTTATGTTGGGAGTACGGGGTGATGGAATGGGGGATATAGGAATTGTGGGGAGCCAAGACGGTGGGGGAGGAACTATAGGAAGGGAATGAGATGTGGAATGGGGGTAACCTCGCGGACCGCCCGGAAGGAGATTGCCGCTCCGCCCGCCCGCCCCCCCCCCGCCAGAACGCGCGGAGGATGCACCCCTCCTCACGCTACTCTCACGCACCGGGCCCCTATCTCGCCAGGGACCCGCCCCGCCCCCCGACCGGGCACCCTGCCCCCCCCCCCCCCCCGGCGGTGACCCCCCGGCACCGGGGGGAACCGCAGTACGTGTGTGACGAACCGCCCCTTGCGGAAGGGAGGAAGAAAGCGAGGCGCGCAGCAGTGCGAAGCCTCCCCGCTCCACCCGCCCGCCCGGGGTATCCGCCCCCCCGGAGCCGCGAAAAACCTCTCACCTCTCGGAAGCAGATTAACCTCCCCCCGGTGTCCCCCTGCCACTACGGGAGCAACCCCCCCCCCCCCCCCCCCCGAAGCCTCCCCCCCCCCCCCCCCGCCCCGCGAGGCCAGCCGCCGGACATAGGGGGCGGAAGGGGGAGTGCCCCCCCCCCCGTCCCAGCCGCCTCGGCGAGGGGGAACAGTGAACACACCACCCCCGCTGCAGCGCTAGACCAAGTAGGGCGGGGCGGTGCCCAGGTGCACGACCCCGAGCGTATCAAGTGCGACACCCCTGAATAGCAGTGTTCGGCCCTGGCTCACGACGGTGCCCGCGGGGAGGGCCCCCCCCCTCCCCCGCGGAGACCGCGAGGGCCGGATGTCGGCGAACCCCCCTCGTCGGCCGCGATGAAGCCCCCCCCCCCCCCCCCACCCGCCCCCCCCCCTCCCCCCCCCGCTCTCGCCCGCCGGCGGATCCGCCCCCGCCGTCCGCCGCGCCGCGTGCGGTGCCCCATCGAACCCGGCCTTCCCCCGGGCCGGGATGAGGGGAGCGACCTCCGATCGGTGACTCCGCCCCGCCCCCCCCCCGCGGCCGGGGGGAGGGGCCCGCGACGTGCACCCCTGGGCCGGGCCGGATAAGGACCGGCCGGCCCCGCTTTTCGGCCGACCCGGCGCCTGCCCGCCCGAAGAGAATGATGCCCCGCGACCCGCGAACAGCCGACCGATTGGATCTCCGCTCAAAAGACTCCCCCCCGCAAAACTGCCCCCCCCCCAAAGGAGCCGGCCGCGGGGCAGGAGGAGAACCGCGTGAGGCCAGAGGAAGACCCCGCCGAGCGCCTACCCCCCGGACGCGCCCCCGCCCCCCGCTCCCCCCCCCCCTCCCCCCCGTCTGTATCCACGGGGAGTGCCCCCCCCGCCCCCCCCCCCCCCCCCCCCTCACGGGGGTTAAGTCCGGGTGGCCGCGCGTCCCGGAGAATCGGAAACGCCCCCCCCCCCCCGATGGGAGCGTAGGCCCCGTGGGGTTAGGACACCCCAGGGCCCCCCCCCCCCCCCCCCCCCCGCCCGGCACGGCGTAGCCGGGGGAGCCTGGAGGAGCCCGAGACCGGGAGGTGCCCCCCCCCCCCCCCGCCCCCCCGCGCCGCTGGGGGGGCGAAGACGCCGGCGATAGGACTAGACCCGGGAGCCGGGTAAGGCCGAAGCCCGCGGCCGCATCCTGGACTGGAGTCCCGGGCAGCGCGCCCGGGATCGCGGAGCTCGGGCCGCGGGCGGCCCCAGGTGGGGGGGGGGGTTTGAGGGGTGCCCCAGGGAAGAGTTCACAGCCTCCCCCCCCCCCCCCCGC